CATTCCGAATTTTGAGCCTAACACGAACTGTTGAAACGAATCTAATTTTTTTAAGGTGGACTTTTCTCTGACGAAATTCGGGCACTTGCTAGTTAATTATAAGTAAAATGAGTTGATTATATCTATAGAAATGAATCTGAAAATCAGAAAAAATCAGAAACAAAATGTGATATCAGCATCTACAAATGATTGGTTTATTTTACAAACATTGTTTTTTTTTTTTTTTTTTGAATATTATTTTATTTGCCCAAAAGTTTTGAAATCATATCGCTTATTTAGAGCAGAAAATTATGCTTGGCATAAAGTTAATCTACGTTTTGTAAGAAACCTCATATCTAGCCACTCGCCTGCAGATAACACACACAAAATCTTACGCTATGCGGTTGGAGATTTTTATCTTCGGTGGTGTTGTTGCTGTTGTTTTTGCGTCCCACGATGCGTAGCGATTATGTAATTAGTTACAGTTGTAAATAAATACAACCGCCCCAACTAAAAAAATTAACTTTATAATTTTCGTAATATTTTTTGAGTTTATGTAAATTGTACGTTTCTTGGGGATGGGAGGCAGCAACAATGGGTGGACAAGGCTGAGGTGTTTCACGGCATAGAGCTAACCATTAAGGTTTCCCCTTTCACAGATTTCAGAGGCAAACTTAAAAATGAAAATCCCTCCTTTTTCCGATTAAAGTCTTAGACCGGATTAAGGTAAACGACCACTTACTTTGCCAACACATCTGACAAGAGAGGGGGCTATATGTAGTGTGTGTGTGTGTGTGAATGTAAATCTTGTAGTTTTTGCCTCCTCTTCTATGTTTGGTTTCACATTCTATCCTCTGCTACGTTGGCAGACAAGCTGACTGACTGGCTGACCACCATAAATTGAGTTCTCAAAGTTGGTGCCATTACCTGTCAAGCGACAAGCACAAAACGCCATGACTGGAAACGTCCCAAAGTAATTTGATCTATTTATGTCTCCTCCTCGTCGTCGTCTTTGACTGGCTTAAAGATTTGTAAATATTTCTTCAACTCTGGTTTTTTTTCAATCTCAAATGCAGTTTTGGAATATCAATGTTTTCCCCTTGCCGAAGGAAAACCACAAATATTTTACCCAGCAATATGTAACAAAGTTGTCGCAGAGAGGGGGTAAGAATCTCACGTTATTTTACAATGTATTTTATATTACAAATGCTTGTTATTTGAATAGGCCTCTCTTAGCTTAGCAGGCATAATATTTTGTAATGATGTTAAAAAAATCATTTTTTTATAATAGGTTCCTGGAAAAATGCACGATTATTTGAAATGAGGTCCTCGAATCTACGATTTTGGTCTGGAAATACGAAAAAGAATTGTAATTTGTGGCCAGAAGATCCTGGAAAAATGTCTTACAAACTTAAGATCATTATAGGCAGATTTTCTAAATTGTGGTATTCTTAAAAATTCATTAATTTTTACACAAAAGTCCCGGAACCCCCATAATGATACCCAAATGAAACCCAAATGTCTAAAATATTAATGATTTCTGATCAAGATGTGCTAGATTTTTGACCAAGATGTCCTTGAAAAGAACTACTCAAAATCTACAATTATGACCCAAATGTCCTTGAATATAATTTTTTAAAATTCACGATTCATATCCAGGATGTCCTCGATCCCATAACTTATGATCCAAAATTTTGATTCAGGAGGATCTTTTAAAAATTGTCTTAAAAACACGATTCTTGTCTGAGAGGCCCTGAAGAAAATAATTCCAAAAAATTCAGCTTGAAAAATCCATGATTTAGGTCTAGACGTCCTTGTTAAAAAACTGTCCTCGAAGTCAACATATTTTGGTCTAAAGGTTATCGAAAAAGGTTTTAAGCATTCACCTGCAACTTTTGGCCTTGCGTTCTAGCAAAAAATATCTTAAAATCAAAGATTATTTGGCAGGTGATCATTAAATGACATTCTCATAACTCCACGACTCTAGACTTTTAAAACATTCCAGATATCTTATGGAAATTAACTTAAAATTCCCGATTTTTGTCGAAAAACTCCTTATTAAAAACCATTCTTATACAAAATATTTTTAACATCCTTTACAAAATCCATGAGTTTTTGCCGAGTAGGTAATTCAAGAAGGAGGACCTGAAATCCACGAATGTAGGGCTCATTTGCAAAACACTGCCAAATCTCAAACACAAATACCATCCATAAACTAAATATCAAATTTCAGAATTTTATCTATTTCCCTTCACCCCATGTCAAATTTAATACATTTCAATACTTTTCGTACAATTATAGTACACATTTCCGAAACCACCTTCATATGTTCAGGCTACACGTGACCAACGACCTGTATACCAAATTTCAGGTTTCAAACACAATCTGTTCACTCAATACACATTTCTAAAACCATATCCAAAGCAACTGTCGTATATCACACATTCTTTCCAACCTTGATTCCAATTTGGTCCATCCAAATGGTATCATTATAGAGGTTTAGTACCATTTTTCATTTTTTTGGAAATTCGAACTTTAAGGTTAGGAATTAAGGTCCAAATTTCCAAAAACCTTTTGGTGCACCTATACTGCACTCCATCAATGTCGGCATTTTCACAGAAAATAATAATTAACTGCACGGAAAGAGAAAGGATAATCCGATTTTGATCCAATATTGCAAATCCTAATGGCCCCACAAAGGGCCAAAATTTTAAATAATTTTAACTCTTATAAAATGTGATTAAGTGTCCGATTGTCTTAAAGTTACACACATCACAATATGTTTATTAATCCAAGGTCTGGTGTGAAGTTGGAATATATTGGTACACTGATTCTGGTATCTCCCCCACAAGGGGTCAAATTTTTAAGTATTTATGAAGCTCATAAAACACGAAATTAAGATCCGATTCGATTCAGAATTGGTACTTCCCAATATTTCTATCAACACAAGATGGTAGAGATCGCAGCATTTCTTCTGGTACCCTCACCTCAAAGGTTCAAAGTTTGAATAACCAAAACGATTATAAAATCCGAAATAGGCCTCCGATTCTCTTAATATTTCACAAATCACAAATCATTTTAATAACCCAATGTCTGGTGTAGAGATGCGATATATCGCTCCACTCCTTCTGGTACCTCCCACACAAAGGGTAAAATTTTTAAATACCCATGTGAAGCTCATAAAACGCGAAATCAACATCCGATTCCATTCAGACCTAGCACATCTCAATATTTCCATCAATACAAGATTTGTTATAAAGATGGTAGAGATCGGTCATTCCTTCTGGTACCTACCCCACAAATTGTCAAAGCTTTGAATAAACCAAACGTTTATAAAATCCAAAATTAGCATCCGATTCTCTTTATCTTTTACAAATTCCATTATCTCTCCTAACAATGGATCTGATATGAAGATGGTATGTATATGTCCACTCCTTCCGGTACCTCCCCCACAAAGGGTCAAAATTTTGAATATCTATGAAGCTCATAAAACGCGAAATTAGGATCCGATTCCATTTAGACTTGGTACAATATATATATTTCCATCAACACAAGATCTGTTATAAGGATGGTAGAGATCGGATCATTTCTTCTGGTACCTCCCCCACATAGGGTTCAAGATTTTGAAAAACAAAACGCTCAAAGAAAGCAAATTAAACATTCAACTCTCTTCAAATTTCACACATACAAACATTTTTGCTAACACAAGATCTGGTGTAAAATTCTATATATCTGCGAACCCCTTCTGGTACCTCACCCACAAAGGGGCACAATTTTCAATACTTTTGCTTGTCATAACTTGCGAAACAGGTCAGCGATTCTTTACAACTTGCTATTTCTTTCAACCAGAAACCTGAGATGAATATGGGATTTATGATTTTGCATAAAATTGGATATAAATTCGATTTTCTTATAATTTTACCCATATCAATATTTTTAACTGTATAAGATGGGATATGAACATGGAAAACTTCGGTCGACTATATCTGATACCTCACGCACATTTTAACATTTTCTGAAAATTTTCTCATATCTCATACTAAGTGAAGCAAGTAGTCGATATATTCCAAGCCTGGCACCTCGCAATATTTATATCATATTTAATTTGGTCCGATACGAAATGGGCAATATTAGCCCATTTCTTCGGAATATACTCCGTATAGGGTCAGTAATTTTTGAATAATCAAAATAAAATCAAAATATATTTAACTAATCAAATATTGGCAGAGGGTATACATCGGTCGGCAAAATTGACTGATACTTTTTAACTTGTTTCTTTTTTTTAACTTTGACCATTGGTGGGGGAGGTATCAGAAGGAGTGGACCGATATTGCCCATCTCCGAACTTGATCTATGTTTGATAAAAATATTCTGATGCAGCAGGTTTGGACAAAATCGAATGTTCCCTTTTTTGTTATCGTGCGCACCAACCAGCCAGACAGACAGACGAACGGACGGTCATCGCTAGATCGACTCCAAATGTTCTGAAACGGATTTGGTCCAAAGAGACCCAGACTCAGAGCCTAAAACCGTGTTTTCGATGAGGCACGTTTTGGTCGTATCAAATTCCTTGAGATTTTTTTGTTTTTGTCTCATTTGTATGTCCATTTGTGTGCTTAAACAATTTTTACAATCTTGTTCTTGTATTGTCTTTCCTCAAGCCTTTACCTTAACACACTTTAGTCCAACGACCACCCTAAGGGTTTAGTGTTATTCTTTCACTTTTCTTTTCACTTCTGCTGTTCTTTCGAGTACCACATTCATTGCCGCTCATTAAAAAAAAAACACTGGAGTGGTCTTGGGCCTTAAGTGAAAAAATACAAACGGATCGAGAGACAAGTACTTAATTCACCATTCACAGATCTACAGACGCTGTAATTGTGGCAACTACCTTGCATTATTCTTTAAGCGTAATTGTGATGACGATGATGACGTTTTTATGCTTTGTTCTAAGCGAATCTGTGTTTGTTTTCATTGCTAATTTCCTTTTCTTATTCTCTTTTTTTTTTTTTTTTTTGCAGACTTGGCACAAAACATGTTTCAAATGCACTGAATGTGCCATGGCATTGAATATGAAAACGTACAAAGGTTTCAATAAAATGCCCTACTGTGAAGCGTAAGTACACCAAAGATATAATGATTTTAGATTTAAGTTTTGAAATAAACCAATACTGAAAATTAAAGATTTTCCACAAAATAAAGCGGTTTATATGAATTTCATTTTGAATATTTTAATGCCTCTACTCCAGCTTTATTCAATTGCCATTATCGCTCATAATTTTGCAACTCGGCAAAATTTATTTTTAATCCTTTTGGCAGTCATATATCACCATTTTGGATTTCGAATAAATGCCAACCATCACTTTATGTCACATTAAGAATTCTTTTGATATTGTTTTGAAATTTATCATTTTGACCATGAATAATCATGGCAATGGCGTTGATGATGATGAGGACTTTGCTCGCTCCGATGATAGATAGTTAGTAGCTACTTGAAAAGGCAAATATGAATGCGCAAATTCATGACGATAAATATATGTATCTCTACTTCTAGCCAGCCATTTGTTTGGTTTGCCGTTTATCTTATCACTCAAGGTACAGATATATGAATATACAGATACACACATACATATATAAATCCAACCATTGGATATCATCATTCATCGTCAACCCTTCCAGCTGTTTGCATTCTTATCATCCACAATTTCATAATTATGAGGAGAATGTACGTGGATAAATATATATGTATGATTGCACACACACACACCTTCATATATACATAGATATCTTTATCAATATAACTGATGTCAGAAAATATTTCATGGGCCAATGATGTCCGGCGTGGGGAAGGGGAAGTGAGAGATAGGCTTTTTCTAAGAAATGATAAAATGGAAACATTTTGATTTATAATGCAGATATATTTAAAATATCCATCGGATATGGATAATTGATAAAGCAGATTTATCCACTGATAGTGGGTAGCACATTTTTTTTTTAAAAAATGACATTTTTTTTTAATTTTTTTTTTCACAAAATTTAGATAATTTCCTTAGAAAGTGTATCCCTCAAACGTGGACAAATTCTTTTATTCCGTAAAATGGGGATAAGTTTTCTATCCTACACCGCAAGGTGGTGGTAAAATGGGGATAATTTTCATACCATACACCGCAAGGTGGCCATGGTATTATATCTTTGTGCATTTGTTAGTAACAGGCAAAAGGAAACGACATAGGCCCATAGTTGCTTTTGGATGATCTGCATAGAATCAGATTCTGAGTCGATTTTTACATGACCGTCCGTCTGTCCATCTATCTTTCCATGTATTTTTGTAGACAACGTACAGGTTGCATTTATTGCTCGACCCAGATGAATTTTGTAAAAGTCATTTATTTGACCCAAGGACGAACCCTATTGAACTTGGAGATAATCGGTCAGAATTTAGATATAACTCCCATATATATCTTCGTCCTATTTGAATTTTATTGTGCACCAAACGTGTAATATCAGTATGGAATTTTGCATATACGACCAAATTAAGTCTCGAAATAAGTATGTCAAATTTGATCGAAATCGGTTCAGATATAGCCATAGCGTCCATATATATTGTTCATTCGATTTGATATTTTTGTCCTCCGCAGTCCACTGTACACTGTAACAACGATATTTGGGGAAATATATTAAATACAGCACAGAAATACCTTTCCCAAATTTTATCGAGATAGGTTCAGATTTGGATATAGCTCTAATATATATCTTCGTCCGATTCGCCTTTTATTGTGTACCAAACTTGTAATATTAGCCCAAATGGGATGAAATTCGGCACCTACGACCAAATTGAGCATAGAATCAAGTATGTCAAGTTTTGTGAAAATCTGTTCAGATATAGCTATAGTTCCTATATATATTGTTCATCCGATTTGTTATAGTTTTTATTTGTTATATGAAGCTCTACTAAATATGCAAATGGGGTGTAGGGTATCAAAAAGTCGGCCCGCCCGACATTTAGATTTTCTTTACTGGGTTTTTCGTGTATACGCCCAATTCGTATAATATCCTAAGGACCAACTAAATTATATCATTTCCTAAATAATGGAGGTGGCTCCGTAGGGGTGGACGAATATTGCTAATTTCGTAACAAACCTAAATCTGATATAAATATTGCGACGGGTCAGGTTTGGACTATATCGACTACTTCTACTACTTCGTCGGTAAAAATTCCACTTTAAAATATTGGCCTTTTTAGTACTCAAAATTTACAATTTGTTCAGTTTGATTTTTTTTAATAAAAACTTCGTACGTCGTGGTAAATTTTCCTACTTTCAAGGTTTTATGTATTATTCAAGATTTTCCCTTTTTCGAAAAAAAATAACAGGAAAATTATTTACGTGTAACACCAAAATGTCTTCAAAATCTTTGATTTTAAAGTGTACCGGCGAGGATATTAGATTAAAATCAGTGCACAATGAACCCACATCCTAGTTTACTCTGCAACACTATTTCAACGTCTCTATATGTAAACCAACCCTAGAAATTAAAAGTGACCTCAAAGTGACCCATATTCAAAATTCAAATTATCCTAATTCTAATTTCAATTTGTACCAAATATAGTCCTATTTAGTACTTTCGTGAAATTATAGCACTTATTTCCAAAAACACCTCTATATTTCAACATTCAATTTCAAATACTACTCGTCCATATTTCTTCATCCATTACCAAATTTAGTACCATTTAGTACTTTACGTACAAATAAACGGCGCATATCCATACCACCGCCAAATCTCAAACACAGATACCATCAGTAAACTAAATATTAAATTTCAGAATTTTATCTCCAATCCTTCACCCGATACCAAATATAGTACTATTCGTACAATTATAGTACACACTTCAGAAACCACCCCCATATCTCAATTTTAGATGCAAATAGAGACCTAAGTATGAAATTTGAGGATTCCAGTCCTACCCCGTCACTCAGTACCGAGTTAAGTACCATTTAGTACTTTTGGTATAATTTAGTATTCATTTGAAAAACCGTTCTATATCTCAATCCTAGACACCAACAGCGACATCTATGTCAAATTTCAGGATTTAACCTCTATCCTTTGAACTAATACCAAACATAGTAATTTCCATTTAGTAATTTTCGTACAATTTCCGAAACCAATTCCGTATATTGTTCAGGTTACATACCATATACCATACCCTTATACCAAATTTCTGATTTCAAGCACTTTCCGTTCACCCAATACCAAATTGTATCAAATATAGCACTATTTTGTACTTTCGTGCAATTATATTACATATCTCAATCGAAGACACCAAAATTTATCGCATTATTTAGTACTTTTCGTAAAATTACAGTACATATTTCCTAAACCACCTACATATTTTTACGCTACACAGGAACAGCGACCCTAATACCAATTTTGCAGATTTTAAGTACTATATGTTCACCCAATACCAAATAGTACCAAATATAGTACTATTTAGTACCTCTTGTGCACTTGCACTACACATTTCCAGAACCATAACTTTATCACAAACCTACCTAACAACAGGTACCCCATTACAGCACCCTAAACCAAACTTTTGCAAATTTTGTAACATTTAGTACGAAATTTCGAAACCTTCTTCATATATCAAATTTATTTTCCAACCCTGATTGTCATACCAAATTTCAAGTTTTTAACTCTATACCTTCACAGCAATTCAAAAAGTACCATCTTAGAAGTTGAGTACCATTTCTACACTTTTCGTAACCTTAAACCCTTTAGTACATTTAACCTGCACTCCATAAGTAATTCTCATTTCAAATTTCAGATTCCTAGCTCATTCCGTTTATCCAGAACCAAGTATTACATTTTTAGTACATTTTAGGACCTTTCGTATTCATTTAAAACTAATTTCCAAAATGCCAGCCATATAACACGCCTACGCACCAAAACTAACCATCGAGCAATTTTCAGATTCTAGCTTCAGCCGTTTCGTCTGGGAGTTGATAATCGATCAATCAGTCAGCTATTTCACTATTATTTTATATATATATATATAGATTTGTGCACTCTTCTCCTTCCTCATCCCAACATATCCTCCGTAATTCTATCCAATTTGCTATTCCTCGTATCATTCATCCTTCTCATCTGATCTTTAAATTCAAATAATAAGAGAGCAATTATTTGTATTCCACTTTGCTGCTGCTGATGCCATCGTCATTGATGATGGCAGGCAGCATCGGCTGAACAAGGCCATCATCTTTACCGTTTTACACACTGCTCCATTTATTCGGTCATTATAGTCATTTGCTTTACTCTCTGCTCATTATTTAGTTACACAAACTATAACAACAACAACAACAAGATATGTGCAGAATAGAATGCTCCACAAAACGACATCCGACTAAATGACTGGCGACCGACCCACCGCTAAGCTGCTCCTGCAGCGGTGGCCGCAGCAGCTGCAGTAAACCCAACAACCGCACAAAGCCATAACAATAGATTTATGACGTTTTAACAACGACACACAGAAGAGTGGTCGGAATGACTCCACTCCGGGTACATGTGTTCGTGTACGTGTGTATGTGTGTCACTGTGTTGGGGACAACACAGATATTGCTGCTGCATGGCGGATGAATGTTTTAGCATTCCTGTTTCATTTATCTGCAACAGCAGCTCCTGAAGAGCCACAATCGAGACAAAGCTTAACGAAGTAAAGAAGAAGTGTTGTCGCAGCCATCAACTCGCTTCACATGCCGAAGTGGAACTCATTCGGTGGCTTATTTCCGAATTTTAATGTAGCGTTGTTTCCATCTTTCATTTCTGGCATTCGCATTTGAGACTAAGCGGAGACTTTCGTAAAGGTCCATAGGATTTTTAGCTAAGGGACCTCGATTAAGGGTTTAAACCAGATTTGAGAAAAATGTATGACAGATGTAACCTATTTTTTTTTTGCTATAATCCTAATAAGTCTCAATAAACGAAGTTTCCATTTCCATTTATCTCTTCATTAGCCAATCGTTAATATAATAGGTCAGTAGATTTCAATTTTAAACAGCTTTGGACGCCTCGGAGCAAAAGCGACGCAACTGGCTGTTTTATATAAAATGTGCAAAAAATATC